CTCCAGTTTTGGGGACACCAGTTAGTCCTATTAGCCGTTCTCTGATAGATCTAAGGAGTTTTTGATTTTTTTTCTGGTTTTTTTAGTGTTTTATTTGTTAGAATTGAGTGACTATTTCCAGCTTCTTACATGCTAGACTGCAAAGTAGAATTCCTATTATTGAATTATTTTTCTAATTTCATTTTTTGGGTATGTTACTGTATAATTACTATGCAAACTTTACTGAATTCATTTATTAATGCTACAGTTCTTTTGTGGATTCTTTGGGGTTTTCTCTCTATAGAATCCTGTATGTGCTTTGGATGTGGATATAGTTTTACCTCTTGTTTTCCAACCCCATGCCACTTATTATTTTCTTTTTTGTTGCCTAAGTTCTTCTGGTACCAAGTTGAATCACAGTGGTGAAATTCCTTTACTTTCAGGGGAAGACCTTCAGCTTTTCATTGTTGAGTGTGATGTGAATGCTGGTCTTTGTATAAATGCTCTTTATTTGGGTGAGTTAAAGTTCCCATCTATTACTACTTTGTTGCACGTGTTACTTTTTAAATCATCAGTGTTGAATGTTGTCAAGTTCTTTGAAATGATAGTAGGAATTTAGGAGGTTTTTCTTTATTCCACAGTGTTCTGATTTTTGCATGTTGAACTCCCCTTACGTTCATGGAATACATCCTATTTGGTCATGGTGTATAAATCTCTTAATATGCTGCTGTTGGTTTACTAGTGAAAATTGAAGTCTGAAATCTGACTTTTAGATGTTTCAAATTCTGAAACTTCGGACATGATACTACAAATGGAAAATTTCTTACCTTGTTTCATGTGACAGGTGGCAGTCAAAACTCAGGCACACTAAAAATATTATTTAAATTTGCTTTTGGGCTGTGTATATAAGGTGTACAAGATGTGATAAAAATATGGTGAATATTTAAATTTAAAAAATTTATCACAGTAAAAGACACAGGGCATTAATCCCGCTCACAGTACTTCCTCTTGCTTTGAACATACTTATCCCATTATTTTTCCACTTTCTGAAGCAGTTCTGGGAGTCATTATTACTCGTATCTTTAGTTGCATTGTCCTGGCTGCTTTGATGTCCAGAATTGATTCTAAATGTTTGCCTTTCATGATCATTTTGACTTTGGGGAAGGGCTAGAAGTCACACAGTGTTAGATCTGGTAAATAAGGTAGATGAGGGCACACTGTAATGATTTTTATAAGCCTGTCTTTCCATTGGATGGCAGATAGCAGCAAGATTCATGGTATTTTTACCACACCTCATAAAGATACTCACAAAAGAGGACTTCTAGAACTGTTTCCAAAGTAGCAGGAATGGTGGGTGTGTTGGGGGGGGGGATTTAAGGGGAATCAATGACAGTGAATCTTTTACTGTAATAAATTTTAAAATTTAAACATTCACTGCATATTTCTGTTATACCTGATAATGTGAAACAAATGAATTTTGTGTTTAGAATCGGATTCCATCCTTAAGATGTATCATTGTGTGTATGCTAGTATTTCAAAATCTAAAATGTCTTCTGGTCACAAGTGTTTCATATAAGGGATACTCAACCTATGTTTCACTGAGGATTTTTGCGTTTGTGTACACAAGGGATATTAGTCTATAGTTCCCCTAGTATGCTCTTGTTTCTTTATGAGCCATTCTTTATACTGTGATTTTAGTGACCTTTTTTCTTTTTATACTGGGAATTGAACTCAGGACCTTGTGCTTGCGAGGCAGGCACGGTGCCACTGAGCTAAATCTCTGGCCCTTTAGTGACCTTTTTTAAAATGGAGATTTGACCATAGATATATGTTATACCAAATGATGAAATAGAAGTATACTCATTAAAGGTATTAAGAAAATAAGGAAGTTTGTTATCTTTGCTAACACTCTATATTGGATTTACAGTTTTAGCTAAAATAAAATGCTAAGAGAAGAAAATGAGAAGATAAACATTAGAGCAGAAAAATGTTAACTGCCAATATTTCTAGACAATCATGATCATCACCTTAGAAAATTGAAGAAATCACTTGTTAAATCTGTTACAGTTCTTAAGTTTACCAGGAAAATGCTAAACAAAAATCACAAAACTTTCCATATATTCCCAATATGTGATTAGAAATAAAATGATATAGAAGGGCCACATGTAGCTTCCAAAGCATGTGCAAGAACTATAAGAAAAAGCCTATGAGAGAAAAAAATCAGGACCATAAAACTATGTTTAAAATTTAAAATGTATTACCATGTCTTACAGGGAAAGATTTGATAGGTAAATAGTAAGAACAGTTAATTCATAAAATAACTAATGATCATTAAATTTAACTTCATTTCAGAAAATTGGTGAAACCTGATATAAAATTACATTATTTTCCCATGTAATGTCAGAGATTTCTGATATTCAGTGTTCGATGATTCTTATTAACAAAGAAGGCTTCCTTTGCTGTCCTGAAATGAAATGCATAGATGTGTAAGCTCCTTGCATACACTAATTTGAAAAATATCTCTCAATATATAATAATGAAAAGAAAGGGAAGGTAATTCATAGTAAAATAGTATTTACTGCATCCAAAATGTTCATGCTAGAAGGAATAATAATAATTGTTAAGTTTTACATATATCATATGATTTGATCTTCACACAATTCCATGGGTTTTGGCACTGTTAGTATTTTAACAGAGTAAGAAGCAAGGGATTAGAGAGACTGAGTAGTTTTCTCAAAGTCAAATAGCTAGGAAATGCTAGACTGGGATTTCAGCCCAACCCATCAGACCTTAGATCCTGCATTCTTAATTTCCATTCTTAGAATTGATATGAACTTGGATACCTCAAAAGCACTTTGGATTTGCTTTAAACTCTAGAGCTTTCCTCCCTCTACCTTTACCTTGGTGTTTTTAATGGTTCTGTCTAACGGAATGTCATCTCCTTTTGTCCAGTTGCTGACTCCAGAATGTGGTAGATATTCCTAACACCTCCTTCCAGTTCAATCAATCTCAAGCCAGTAATCACTAACTCATTGTAAATTTTGCTTCTTGAATAGTTGTTAAATCTTTTTACTTCTCTTTTTTTCGACTACTGCCAGCCTCAGTCAAACCTGTTATCTCCTGGCTGGACTACAGCATGTACCTTGAGGTTCTATCCTGTCTACTTCTGGTGTGATCTTCAAATATAAAAACTATAACTCCTTTCTCCTGCTAGTTGTGTATGATGTGTGTTTATTCTTAAACTCCTTCAGTGTTTACTCCTTGTTCTTAGGATAAAGACCAGACTTATAGTAGGATCTGGAAGGACATTATCTGGCCTGTGCTGATCTCTGCAGTCTTTTTGACTCTTCTCCTGTCCCTGGACCATGACTGTGGGAGAAATAGAACTGTGACTGCTTTATTCTTTAATGAGATCGTCACTAGTTTATACTCTCTCTGTTCCCTCTGCCTGAAATTCAGCCTCCTTCCCCAGTCCTACTCATCCTTCTCAGCTCATTTAGTGCTGCCTCCAGAAAACTTTCCTCACCATTCCCCTTTCCCCCAGACCATATCGATTCTGGTAACAAGGTACTGCAGCATCATTTATGGCATGTAAAACATTTTGAATTGCATATTTTGATGTTTGTTAATATTTGTCTTTCTGTCTTAGAGGACCAAGCACTGTAATTCATATTTAATATATTTAAATGAATGAATACATCTAGTTTTAACTATTCAATTTTCTTCATAAAGTTACTAAAGTTGAGTGATGTGGCATAGTCATTCTGAGGTGGAGTCGATTGCCACTTACTCCTGAAGGTACTTAATCTCCTTGAGTCTCAGGGTCCTTATCTATTAACTGGTGATAAAAATAGTGCCTGACTCTTGGGTTGCAGGGATTATGTGAGTTAATACACCTAAGGCTCTGGAGTAATAACACCTGATTCATATTAACATGCTCAGTTAGTTAGTAGTGGCTCTTGGTATCTATCCAAGGTCACGCACACAGTGGCTGTTGCAGATACAGGTTCTCTTTTGTGCTATTCTGCACTCTTGAAATCAGTTGGGATTCTTGCAGATCTATTCTGTTGTGAGCTGAAATCATTTTTGTACTTTATTTAAAAATGGATCTGTCCAGTTTCTTTGACAGAAGATGTACACATTTTGTTGTCTTCTGTTTAACCCTTTGCATATAAGGACCATTCTCAGTCTGATAGAAGACGACATTTCAGATATATGGTGAAAATTGTGCTGACTCAAAGGACAAGAAGGTTTACAGATTTTATAGAACTTTGAATATCCACTTAAAGTCTTTGAACTCAGATATTTTGAAATAAATAATTAAAGGATTTTAAGGAAGTAGTGAATTCTATACATAGGTTTGTGTTTAGAAACTTGATCTAACTCCTACAGTTGAAGTGACGCTTTCTGATAAAATTAGGGTAGTTAGGAGGAAGGCCTGGGTTTAGTGGAAAAGATAATGAACTTTGGTTTCTATAGATCGAGTTGAAGTTGCTTGTATGTCTTCTATGTGGAGGTTCCCTCAAGTTAAATGTGGGATAGAAGTTAGGAAGGAACCCTGGGTTGAAAGTACTGAGAACTATTTAGTACAGTATAACAAAGAAAATGAGCTGTTGACAATGGGCAGAAGCAGCTCAGCTGCCCCTTGCACGTGACACAGTTTTGTCAGCTATTACTCCTTTACATTGTGTACCTGAAGATGATGAAGGCAAATTTTAAGTAGTACCCTGTAATTCCAGATTTTTACTAGTCAGTGTGGCCTTCCCCCTAGGTAGTCTGATTTAGTGCTGTAAAATTTATATAGGTACTGTGTTTGTTTTTTAAAAAAACTATGCTTGTCTTGAAAAGGAAATTAAGCATGAAAATAAGGATAAAGCTCTTGCAGAGAACTTAAAGAACATGGTAAATTTGTTAAGTCCCATGTTAGCTAGACATTCTAGACTCTTCGTTCTCAGAATACCATTCTAACTCAAGTGTGTCTGTCCCCTCTCTCCCCCCCCCCCCCCCCTTTCCTTAACTAGGAATTGTGGTGCTTGGAATAAACAGAGCTTATGGGAAAAATTCATTCAGTAAAAATCTTATAAAAACGGTGAGTGTAAAAATTAAAACATTTACTTCTAATATTAAAATCTAATGTTAACATCAGTCTGAAAATGATTTTTTTTTCTTTCCTCCTTACCCTCCCTATTTTGCTTTAGTTATCAAAAGCTGTGGATTCTTTAAAATCTGATAAGAAAGTGCGGACCATAATAATTAGGAGCGAAGTCCCAGGGATATTCTGTGCTGGTATGTAAATGAATTTTATTATGAAATTATAGCCTGTTTCCTCTTTTATTATGAAATTATATTAAAGTCTGTTTCGTTAAAATGTTGTGTGGCTTGAACTTCATTGCCAGCAACTCCTCTTTGTTTGCTTTTTTACTGTTTCACAAGAAAAAATACTTAGTATTAGAAAGAAACTTTTGTAATGTGAGTTGTTTTAGATGTTAAAAAAATAATTTGAGCCACTAAAATATTTGTGGTATATAAATAGTATTTATGAAACATCTAATGGGAAGGGAAATTTGTCTTCTGTTCCAGCATTATGCTCTGTACTTTTAGTTGTTCAAATGGTACTTTCATTGGCCAGTATTATCTGTCTGCCATGTTACAAAGCATTCAGTGTAGAATTTGCTCTGGAGATTGGTGGTTATAGCAGCACCCATGTGGTTGTGTGCCTGTGGTTGTACAGTATTTCCAGGTTGGTATCTGGCATCAAAAGATGTGGCTAAGTGACATGTATATTTTTCTGTTCCTGCCCCATTACCAGAGCTAAAGATTGATGCATCTTGGATTTTTCTTATTTCTCAGTATTTCTAAGCCATGATATTCAATGAATCATTTTCAACTAGTAAAAAGTGTAAGTGATCAAGATGAGAAAAGGCAGGTAATGTGCAGTGTCGTGTAATTTACCAGTAAGCAAATAATAGAATTTAAAGCATAAAAATATACTTTTTCAGTCAAAATATAACTAGGGTAATTCCCTTGAAGTAATCAGACATTCAAGGGAACCACTGCAGTGTTCTGTTCATTAAGCAGATGTTTACTGAGTATTTAGAAACATACTTGGAACAGTTCTGAGAATATGAGAGAGTATTTGTAGACAAATGATTTAGAGGTGTCTTAATTGTGGTTGATATTCTTTAGTGTGCTCAGTCATTTTAAGCTTTAATCTCTTACCTTAAAACCTTGTAGTCTTTTATGATCACTTAGGGGAATATAGTGCAAATGAGTTATATTTTGGCTTTGATAGGATTTTATTGCTTTCTTAAAATGTAGTGTAACATACTTAAAAGGATTAGCTTTAACTCCTGATGGCTAATCAAAGAGTGTAGAACCAATACCCTCCTGTGCTTGGGCTGTGGTGTTAGAAATCATAGGCCTCTCTTTTCACATTTCTCAAAGGTAATACTGCCTGCCTAGTAGGGGTGTTAGAGATTTTGTTGAGGTAGTGTAAGGAAAGTGCAATGCACTAGAGTTGCCCCTTGGCCTCTCATGCAATAGTGTGGTGTTTGCATATAGCTTACTCACACCTTCTATAAACTTTAAATTATCTCAAGAGTACTTGTAATTCCTAGTGCAATGTAAATGCTGTGTAAATAGTTTTGCACTCTATTGTTCAGGGAATACTAACAAGAAAAATGTTTGCACATGTTGAGTATGGATAAACCTCCTCTCCCCAGTTGTTTTCTCTTTATGGTTGATTGATTCAGAGGATGTGGAATCCATGGCGATGGAGCGCCAGCTGTAGTCAATAAATGATAACTATGGTTTTTATAAGGTTCTACATACATTTTGAGTTCTTTTTGTTTTTTAAACAACATGAGGAACTTATACCAACATAATTATAATTCTTATTTCTGTAACGTTAGAATAGAAACTTTGAGACTGGGTGAACGTGGTCTTGAGGTGAATGGCTCTCACGCCGTGACTGGTGGCTCTGAGGTCTTCTTCTGGGGATGATAGGGCAGCTTATTGGGAAGTTGTACATTGTTCTAGGGCTTTTAAGGAAGGCTGAATACATGAGTCTTTGAAGAGTGGTAGTGATACTGTGTAGGCAGGACAACACTGTGTTAGTGTTCTTCTAGGTTTTGTCTTTCCATTAATAATAGATTTTGTAATTTTCACACTAATTACTGGGAGAAGTCTTTATTTTACCCTTTCTTTGTCTTCCCATTTATTTGTTCTGCTTCTTTGAACTAATAATGCTGTCTGAAAAGGGCTTCAGTGCTTGCTTGCAGTTTGTAGCTGTTGCTGACAGTTCCTTTTTGGGGGTATATTAAATAATATACAAAATACTGTTTTATCAGATGAGCAAGTTAGCTTTGAGTACTTTTTTCCAATTTAATTTAATCCATGTCTTCATGTACTTTTAAATTTTCACACGATCAAGGTAACCTTTAATATTTTAACTCAATAAGATTTGTTACTGTATTCTGTGAAAGTATTTTAATTGTAGGAAAATTGTAGCAAATAATTTATTTTAGTAATTCACTGTGTCATTTGTGACCATTCTTTGTGAAAGGTTTTCTTGAATTTCAGATAGACAGTCCAGTGGGTTTGTCTGTATTTATTTGTACATTTGAAATATAATTCCAGGTAAATACAATCTCTTTATCTAGTAAAAGAATACTTAAACTTATCATAGCCTATAATGGTATAAATATATTACTTTTAATCAAGCTTTTTTTAGTTCTTATTGAAGAATGCAGTCTTTCATGTAATAAAATCTTCTGGGGATTGAACTCTAGGCTTTTGCTCCCATCTAAATCCCTAGCACTGTTTTGAATACTTATTTATTTTGAAACAGGGTCTCATTAAAGTAGCTAAGTTGCCCAAGATAGTCTTGCGCTTGCCATCCTCCTTCCTCAGTGTCCCAGAGTGCAGGATTAACAAATGTGCACATCTGTGGCTGGCTCACATAATGAAATCTTTAATTTTTATTCTGACATAGTAGTAATAGTAAAAAAGCAAACCCCTCAAAAATAGTGTACCTCTCATTTCCCCAAAGTCACTCATTTTCCCTCTTCATCTCCGCAAACGTTTCTCTTCTCTGTGTATTTATTCCAGTAGTACCTTGGTCATTTCTAAAACTTAAAGCTTATAAAGTGATCTTGCCCCAAATTCCTTGAGCAGAGGAACTTTTTTTATTCCTTGTCATCTTTTGTATTCTCAGAACACAACATAAAATAGGGACTCAGCATATAATTGCTGAAATGAATCAGTCTTTAAACATTGCTTTAATTCACTGATGCTTTTTTAGGGATTGGTGGCATATATTTAAGGAGTTTCTCTGAATTATTTCAAACCTCTGTCATCTTAGAGTGTTCTGTCAATTTTGTTTTATTTTCCCTACACCCCTTTTCTAAAGTTGTACGAAAACAGATAATTTCAGGACTGTTGAAGAGTTTCTTACGTTGCACTGGACCAAGTGTTTTGTGACTTCTGTCAACTGTTTCACTTACATTAATCAAATTTTACTTAAAAAAGTAGTAAGTTAAAATGTATGCAAAAATATACAAAGAGAAATCTTGGTCTCTGTTCCTTTCTTCCTCTAATAAAAATAATTTTATCATTTTTCTCAACATTTCATTATACTACTACATAATCGTTGTATAAATATATACATGCGCTCCTTAGAATAGTAAGCAACTAACAGGATACATATAAAGATTCTTGCAGTTTGGAAAATACATAAGAGTTACATAAAACATTTTTTTTTTTTTTTGGTATTGGGAATCGAACTCAGGTCTTTGCACTTGAGTAGCAGGCGGTGAAACCACTGAGCTGAATCCCCGGCCCTATAAAACATGTTATACCCAATATTATTACAGCTATATGAGGTATGTAAGTAAAAGCATAGATCAGGGGTGGTATTTTCTATAACTGGAAACTTTTTGAATATTGACAAATTATATTAAGCAAATATATATGCAATAAATAAGTTAAAAACTTACAACGTGTAGTGTATTAGTGTATTTTTCTGTTTTGGTAACGTAAGTTGTGCCTGTGATCCCAAATTATTGTTAAAACATTTGAGAGGAAAAATTTTAGACTATAAAGATACTTTGTAGAATAATTCAGATCCTTTCATTGTACAGATTCCCTAGGAAGTACTGGGCCTGGTTAAATATAGTGGCTTAGTTGAAACTACTTGACTCCCAGAGCAGGGTTTTTTTGGGAGGTGGGGGTAGAAACAAACCCAGGCAAGCACTTTACTACTGAGCTACCCCCAGGCAGGGCTTCTTTACTATACTGTGGTTTCTAATACAAGATCTAAAAGGAATATGAAGTCTCCTTTTTAAGTTCTTTTATT